GCGATTAAAGCGCCTCAAACAACTACAACCTACGGACACCTTTGCGCAGAAGGCCCAGGCACTACAACTTGCGCAGCAGATTCGGCAGACCCAGAACATCCTTCACAAACGCGGCAAACTTCGTAAACAAGAGCGCCTTGACCACATCCTCAGCGAGGCAGAACAAAGCACTGAGCCCGGCGCTCTCTACAAAGCCACCAGATTGCTGGCCCCCAAGACCAGACACTCTCGCATTCAACTTCGCGATGGCGATGGAATGCTAATGGCTCCGCAGGACGAGCTTAAAGCTATCCGTCGGCACTTCGAGACTCTCTATCAAACTGCCAAAACCCGCCCCGCTCCACCCCAGCCCACCACGAACATCAGCTTCACTGATGCGGAAGTATCTAGTGCCCTTGCTCGACTCCCAGTCCGGAAGGCACTTCCCCCGGACTATGTGCCGGCAAGACTTTGGCAGGCTGCCTCAGATGCCATAGGACAGGACATTGCCGCGGGATTGCACCACTGCCTTCAGCCCCCTTCCTACCATCTCCCGGAGGACTGGCACCGCGTGCATGTATGTCTCATCCCGAAGGTCTCCATGGCACGGCTTCCGAAACAATTGCGCCCCATCTGCCTCCTCCCTCCAGGCAGCAAGATACTTGCGATGATGTTGGCTGACCGCATCAGGGACAGAGCAGAGACCTACATCCGCCAGGCGCCTCAGTTCGCCTATGTCCGTAGCCGCAGCACCACCGACGCTATTAGCCGAGTTTGCAGCCACCTCCATGAGGCCCGTACCCTGGCGGCCGCGGCTGTCCCCAAACGACACTTGCGCCATTCAGGGGCGACACCAAGCCAGATTGCTGGCGGCCTTTCACTCAGCCTTGATGTCGACAAAGCCTTTGACTCGTTGCCCAGACACCAGCTCGTGGAATCAATGCTGGCCGCTGGGTTAACCACCGAGGAAGTGGCGCTCGCGCTGCACATACATGACCAAGCCGTGCTCAATTTTGAGCTGGCGGGACACCACGAAGAGGTCGCGCTCTCGCAAGGGATTCGCCAAGGATGCGGCCTTTCACCCCTCTTATGGTCCATGGCCACCACCAAGCTCTATCTGAGGTTCAAGGAAATCACCAATCAGAAGAAGGAGCTGCCGGGAGAACCCACTCTTTATGCGGACGACATTTGGGCCTCCTGGACCATACGCACCCAGGAGCAATTTCGCTCCAGCCTGCGTGCCGCAGGGCTGCTCATTCAGCTCCTCCACGACTCAGGCCTCCGCGTCTCGCCTACAAAAACGGTGTTCTTGCTAAACCTACAAGGAACCGCAGCCCGGAGCACTCTACGCCCCAGGCTCATGAAGCTGGACACAGGTGAAACTGCCATTAAGCTCCGAGTTGGTCGCAGTATCATGCCCATCAAAATTGTGGACGATCACACGTACCTGGGAGCCCGAATAGCATACCAGAGCCACGAGACCCTAAATCTGCAGCATCGTCTGCACCTCGGATGGCAGGCATACTGGCGACTAGCCAAAGTCCTCCGCTGCCGGGCCCTGACCCTGGAAAGCAAAATCAGAGTATGGAAGACTTGTGTCTACCCAGTCGCCCTCTACTCCCTTGAGGCCACAGGTGTAACCCCTCATTCCCGCACACTCCTCTCCCAATTTGTCCACGCCCAACTCCGACTCATACACAAACTCCCGGGCCATGTTACCAAGGTCACCTCGTGCGACCTCCTTCGTCGCAGCCACCTTGAGTCGCCGGGAGACACCTTGGATCAGCGCATCCAACGCCACCTTCAACAGTCTCCAGAATTCCCGACCGATGCCCAGGAGACCTGGTTCGATCAGTTGCAGGACTACTCGACCACATCTGCTGTCACCGACTCAGACCCCACCGGAATCCCTGCCTCGGAGGACACAGGATCGACCCGGGCTCACCTTAAACCACTCAGCAGCGCCCTCAGCTATAGACCGCTATGCTGTCCGATCTGCGGGGTCGGCTACAGCACGCTGCAAGCTGTGCGTCTGCACATGCGCAAGTCCCACCAGACGCAGGTCCGACAATCAACTCCTGCGCCGGAATCAGCCCCTGCCACCACACCTACCCTTGCCGCAGGTCCCCACCTACCTCCTCCTCTTCAGCTGCTGCGGTGACCATGGATCCCGACGCGGCCACGACCCTGGTCCCCAAGCCCGCATTTGCGGCGGATGAACATGCCCTGTTTGTTTGGCAACATGGCCGCGAAGGTCTACCGCAATGCCGACACTGCCTTCGGCAGTGTGACTCCTGGCACAACCTGCGCGTGCATATATCCACGAAATCTTGCCGTACCCTTGTGCCAGACGGCTTTCACACTCTACCCCCAAAACTCAACCTAAACCCGACACCGCTCTACCATAGACCCGAATGCCAGCCCTTTTTCCTAGGCACCTGGGAACAGCTTGCCTCCTGGATGAAAAAGGCGTTTCCTCAGGCAGTGCAACATTGCCCGTACTGCCACCAATGGCTGACCCAAGCCCGCGGCCTCCGCGCGCACATTAAAGCCAAGCACCCTCCCATGATTGCATGCTGTGAAGAAGCAGTCCGCCGCATGCAGACCCACCGCAGGCTTTTGGCCCTCGGGAAAACCTGTCGCTACTGCAGCCTGTCTCTTACGGGAGCACCCATCAAGCACGCCACTGAGTGTGCAGTTTTGTTCCTGGTCCACCTGTTGCAAGCCACCTTCGAAATGCACAGTACTGCCCACACGACCCAGGTCCGACATGACTCTGCCCTCGATGTTCAACGCCCATCAAGTCAACCCGGAGGACCTGGAGGAGGCGACCATGGAGCTCAAGAGTATCGAGGCTCAGGTACGCCTGATCCCGAACCCGCCGTCACCGGCGCCGAAGGCAGCAGACCTCCCCGCCCAGAGCGAACCAATGGACACCTCACATCCCCCACTGGCGGAAGAGATAGCGGACAGACCCTCCAAGTGGCACCGCGACAACAGCAAAGGAGCCCCTCCACCGGGCAAAGGGAAAGGCGCGGCGGGCCGAGGCCATCCGAACCAGTCGGCACCAGCAGGACGGTCTCCCCACCAAGGCGGACAACCAAGACGGCCAGGAGGTCGCCCCTCCGGGTACCATCCTCAGCCTCCCTGGCAGCGCCAAGGACAGGGATACGGGCCTACTTCCGGCCCAGATCTCCACCTCATGTGCCACACCATGGCCAGGCTCCTCATGAGACACGAGGACGCCCTCTCGGTGCTGCAGCAATCCACCACCTGGATTCTCTTCCTCACGACCCAGACGGAAAGCACCATCCTCCCCAAGCTGTTCGCCACAGCCCAAGGTTGGCACGACCTGCGATGGAACAACCCGGACGCCATCACGCAGCCGATGCGCATCATCCTATGGCAGAAGCTGATGCTGGAGTTGGCGCAGCGTGCGCAGAAGGTGATAGATCAGGCGGACGCACGGGAACAGGCTGTTCAGATGGAGCTGTACAACCCGAATACGGGATTTGGCTACCGCAAGTGGAACAACAAGGAAGGTGCCATGCAAGCCATCCCGGACCGAGAGCCGCTAACGGCCCAGAAGGTGGTGGAAGTGGCTCAGGAGCTGGCGACACTGAGTGTGCAGCCACAGCTGCTCAATCGCTTTCACGCCACGAGGCAACTGGAGGCGAAGATGGAAGGAAGCACAGTCACCTGGCTTCTGGAAGTGGGATGGCGAGGAGAACAGACAGCCCGATTTTGGGAGCTACTCCAGCTCCTCTCGCACAACTCCTCTCTCCTCATGGTGGGATGCACCCTTCGCCCGGATCGCCTCCAACGATCAGCCCTGGCGCAGCAGCTCCAGACCCTCTTGCAATCCATGAACATTCCCATGCCACGACAGCAGCCGAGACCTCAGCACTACTTCCGACATTGCGGCTTCACAACCCATCCAACTACTGCTACTCCCACGCTTGCCTCCTGACCTACCTTTGGATTGTGTCCCTGTCAGCCTCATCCCTTCAGGTACTGGACCGGGAACCGATAAGGAGCTTCATTGCGCAGGCGCGCAAGCAGCAACAACTGACGCTATGGTCCCTTCTACCATGGCGACAGGCACTCCGGCGCTGGGCCAATCCTGCCAGACAGCACGATGCCGCGGACTTCCTACTACACCTTCACCAGGTACTAAATGCACCCTGCTTCCAAGGCCTCTGGCAATCTTATGATGACCGCAGAGTGCTCCAGGATGAAGGCGGGGTTTGTCCACTCATCCTTTCTGGTATCCAAGATGCCTCTACTGCCGTTGCTACCTCAGCCCAGTCCTGCATCAATCGTTGGTATTCGCAGAAACGTCGCCACGCCTTGATCTCAGGTACTGAAGCTGTGGCTGTACAGCTGAACAGATTCTGCAATGAGCGGGGCATTGCTACCAAAAGTGACCATCGCATCGAAGCAGATCATGAAGTCCTCTTCCCTCAATGGATCCCCACCTCCACTGAAGTCATTTGGAGAACTTATCAGCTTCAGGCGATTGTCCAGCATATCGGACCTACTACGGTCACGGGGCACTACCGTGCTGCACTCAAGCCTCGCTCTGATGTTACACCCCTCTGGCATTACACAGATGACAACAGAGCCGCACAATCCATCCGCCTGGAAGCCCTTTCCACCTCCAGCTACATACTTGTATACAAACTGAGGAGTGCTGCCACTTCCGCATAGGCCCTTCGGGGCACAACGTAGTTAGTTCCGAGACGATCCAAGTGTGATCGTGCGCCACTGTGCGCCAGGTGATTCCTGCTCCAATCAGCGCATTGCGACTTTACCGTCCGCAGCGAGTGTGATGATGATACTACTACTACTACTGCGGGTGTGAATTCGCCCGCTCCTGAGACCGCGACTGCGACTGGGGCTGGGACTGGGACTGCTACCGCTGCTACTGCTGCTATGGCTCCTCCTCCTGCTGCTGCTCCGTGATATCGTGATTATGCCAATGATTGCAGCCTTACATCCCGAAAGTGAAAGCGGCGCACATGTTTCAGGTCTCCGAAGGGGAGCTCTTGTTGGACATTCTTGCTGCGGCAGTTCTTGAAACTGTGATCGACTCGATTTTCCTGCTGGAGGTGGGAAGCGTTGAGGTTTAGGGCTTCAGTTTTCCTACTGGAGGTGAGGAGGGTCTTCGGACTTGTTGTTGAAGGGCTTGGGCCTGGGTGTCGCAGGTTTGGTCGTATTGCTGGTGTGCCAGGATTCTCGACACTGCCCTTGTAATCACTGAGGTTCCATTATTCCCTTGACTTCGGGTTTTGGGTTTGTCAATGTTGAGGTCGGAATGATTGGTAGTAGTATGTCCCTATACGGCTCTACTATACATCCTAAACCCCTTTTCTAGGTAAGTCAGGCCCCTTTATTCTCAGCTTTGCCAGACCGCTGGAAGCAAGTGGCACCTAGACAGTCTAGACAGGTGATGGACCCTACTCCTACCCCGAACCCCATGGACCATCAACCCTAAACCCATGGACCATGAACTCTAATCCCTAAATCAAAGGCCATAATCCCTAAACCCCACACCCACAGACCGTAAACCATAAACTCCGTGGCCTTGAGGTGCTTCTTCGTGTGATGTCGGCCCCTTCGAAAACTGCGTATATCCGTGACCTTTACAACTGGGCTGACATGATTTGTTGCGTGGGGCTACCGCTTCGCGTTGCAGTCGGCTTCACGATCTGGCACCCTGGCACGACCAACACATTCGGCATGAAACTAAAGGTTGCACCCTGGGCAGGTGGACCTGAGAAGCAAGGGATAGTTTTGACACAATGATCTTCGGTATGAAGGAAGTAGGGTTCACGGTTTAAGTTATAGGATATGGTTTATGGTTTAAGGGTTTAGGGCAGGGTTTTGTTGCGTATCCTTAAACAAGGCACCAGGACCGGCCTTTCGAGATCTTCCTGCTCTTTGTCTTGCCGGTGCTGCGTCTACTGAAACTGCTCAGATACTTCGAGTCCTTCAGGCCCGAGTTAGGGTCCAGGGTTTCGGATTTAGGATTTAGGGTTTAGGGTCTAGTGGTTAGGGTTTAGGGTTTTGGGCTTGGCTTTGATGCTCGTGGTGGCGATGACAAGGATGAGCATCGCGATGATGGTGGATGATGATAAGCCTATGCCGCCGGTAATGCGCTGCTGAGCGTGCAAAGCTGCTATGGCACTGATGCTACAATGATCTGGGTTGTCCTTTGGGATCTTTCTTAATTTCCCCTACTATTTCGTAGAGAACCATAATAGTAAACAATTTTCAAAGGGCTTAAAGGACATCTCAATGATCCTTGGTAGTTTTCACAGTTGCTAGCCTCTCTAGATTCATAGGGATCCTTAGGGGTGTAGGGGGAGGGGGGGTAGGGGGCCTTAAGGCCCATAATAAGGACTAATAAGGCCTATTTAAGGAAATATAGTCCCCTACACCCCTCCCCCCTACACCCCTAAGGATCCCTATGATCTAGATGGACCGGACTTCGGCTGCAGGGTTTAAAGAAACTCTTTTGAAAGTCGCTGTTCGCCCGAACGTGCTGTTGCACGACCTAAGCTTTACAGGCTCCCTTCCGAGGCTTCCGAAGCCTACCTTTTTAGGGTTCCCGACTCTGATTTGCTTATGTAAGTCCTTAGAAAGGTACGCCCTCGAGGCCAGAGAAATGCAACACTTCCCGAAGCTTGAAGCCTCGGAGTCCTCAACCCTGACTAACCAGTGGTTTTGGGGTTCCCTTGGCTCTTTAGCTCCTTAGTTAGTAGGGATTATCATCATCCCTGGCTCCTTAGCTCCTCCAATATCAATGGTTGGCTGAATCTGTCTCCTCAACCCGAAATGCCGAAGCTTTATCGTCGCCTAAACCCTAAGCCCCGAGGGGCCCTTGAAGGAGCTCCTGAGGGAGTACCCTTAGAAGGGAGTTTCCAATATTAGGGGTACCTTATTTTGGGGTCCTTATGATAAGGATCCTACTATCCGGGTCCCGCAAGTAGATGTTTCAGAGCCGCCCGGCTGCAGGATTTTGGTCGATGCCGCCAGCAACGTCATCGCTTCCCTCCCCGTTCTCCTCTACGCGCCTGAGATTTACATGTAGAATGTCATGGGTTTACGGTTTGGCTTGTTTGGGAGCCGCAGCAGCCTGAGATTTCAAGGGGGGAAAGCTCGCAGCCTATGATATACCATAAGTAAAACTATGCTATAATATAGCTACTTCAATACATACAACATGTACTATACACCCAAAAGCCTATTCAATTAGCCCCTATGTTACTCCTCCTGAATGCCTGGAGTTCGAAGTGACGTTGCGAACCCAAAGTTTATCTGGGCCTTGGGAACGAAAGCCTTTGCAAGCCTGGCCCTAAGACCCTGCGAAATCCCCTGCTACGGTTGATGATGAAACTCCTGCATTACCTTAAGGACCCTAAATTATGGGAACTATGGTATATTCCTTATTATGGGCAATGCAGGATTTATACCATCAACCGTATTGCTGTGCCCTGAACTATCCTGAATTCTGAACTCGTTTAAGGGAGAAAGCAGCTCTGAGATCGCATGCAGCCCTGAATCGTAAAGCGGACTTAAGGACAGTTGTGTTGCCAGTTCTCTCGTTAACACCATAATCTCGAGTCATGAGAGTGATGCACTCCATGTCAGACATCCCAAAGGGGATCCTACTTGCGTATCGTAGCCCAAACGGCGCAATCCCAAGCAACGCCCTGAGACTATCTGAGGTCATGGTCATCCTCGTAGTCATCTCCTCCAATGCCATCTACCTGGCAGAGTCCCGTGAGAACATCCCGTCCCTGCAGCACTCAGTTTGGCTGGCAGTGGTGGCCCGCCGAGAACTAGGAACTTGGGCTAATGTCACCCCTAACTTCTGGCGTTTATACAGGTGGTTTGGACGATGAGCTGAGCGACAAAGGGTCTGTGACTATCCTGCTGCAGTCTCCATGCTCTGATAATCACACTGCTGGTCAGGAATATGACTAGATTTATGCTGGTGGTCTTGATGACCATGCTTCTCATTATCGCTGTTGTTGTCGAGCGCAGGGCATTTGCAATAAAAAACAAGCACTACAACTACAAGGACCACGACAGTACCTCCCCCCACAAACCGCTTAGCCACTTCCCGGAGCATGACGACGACGACTGCCACTAGTGTTGTTCTGAAGTTTCTACTTGACTGTGGGTGTTTGGTTGTGATGGTTGGACAAACTGTGTTTGTGCCATTCGCATTTCGGCAGCCCTGAATACATGGGCAAGGATCGCCACAGTCTTTATTTCCTTTGCTCTTTTCTTCGCTTGGCAGCGTCCATTAGTTTTGGGTAGCAAGAAATATTTCAACATCATCAAAATCTCTCTGATACTCGCTGCCACTACTAGGGTTAGCTCAGTTTAGCTCAATTGTTGCTGCTCCGATTTGCATCATTGCTATCGTCATGGAGCCCATTGTCATCATCCTTCTGATGAACCTCATCACCATCGGATTTTCCTCTTCCCTAACACCAGCCCGTCATTAATTATTCTCCTTGTTGCTTCCACGTGTTGCTTCGTGGCGTTTCCCGCTTGAACCCTGAGCTCAACACCGTTCCTGCGTAAGTCTACAGGGTACCACCATGCCCTTTTGCCCTGTTTCGGTTTAGGAGCCCCTCAGGCATTTTTTCGTGTGGGCTCTCCAGGTGACCATGACGACAGTGGGCTATGGCGACTTTGCGCCGCAGTCACTGCCTGGCTACATTACAGTCTCCTTCCTCTCGGTGGCCGCTCATCATGCGCTGGTAGCCTCACCTCGCGACCATCATAGCAACACTGTGCCAGTCATCGTTTCTACGCAATATATAGAGTAGCATCAAAAGCAACCTTTCCCAAAGCCTTGCAATCGGAGTGACAGAAGCTTGCCTTCAGGCTCTTTGCTGCTCCAGTCTCTGCAGCATTTTCGGCTCCGGCAGTATCGAGGCGTGAGGCAAGCTAGAAGCTGGAAACTGGAACCAGCCGCGCCAAGTTCCGCCCTGGAAGTTCAAAGCACTGCGGTGCCGTTGTCGCACTCGCCATGTGGGTTGCTTGCGGCTTCCTGCTCTTGGTTCCCAAAAATCCCAAAAATGTACCTAGATGGCAGGAGCGGTGGCAGCAACGGCAGTCTTCTTGCCCGGCCCGGCATTCCCGGCTGGGGCAGACGACGGATTTGGGGCCCTGGCTGTGTGGTGGAACACTTGCTGCGTCCTATGCGCTCTGTGCCTGCCAAGCCGCCGCTGCCGAGACGTCTGGAAGTGTAGCAAAGCGGCGGGCTTCAGGGCTCCAGCAATTTGGCCAAGGTCGGAATGGTCGCCAGTGTCGTTGCCACAGTGCCTCTGCGGCCATGTTCGGACCTGCAGCGGTTCTACTAGGAGGCACTTTGGTTAGAGGTGCAGGTGCAGCAGCAGATACAGCCGGCTCTGCAACAGCTGGTGCAGTGCAGCAGACGCTGGTCTAGAGTTCGCCACCAGTGCAGTGCCGGTGAGTCTTGTAGCTGGCACCAATTTCCCACACTAGTAGGTCCATGTTGAGGGGAAGATGGCATGATGGGAGCTCCCAGGATAGTCTCTTCACTACGAGGCTGCATAGTCGAATGGGTTCAGCTGGCGCGAGTAGCAGTTCGCTTCTGCGACAGATGAAACCATCATGCGGGACCTCATGTTGCCATTAGCATGCCAGCCTGCACAGAGAGTGCTCTGGGGTAGCTGGTAGTGCAGTTTCTGCTGGACATCGCAGGTCGACGTCTGTGGGGGTTTTTGGAAAACCAGGAGCTCGTCAACAGAACGAGTGAGTTCATCTCCTGGATTCACTCTTACATTCCCACTTTCTGAGACTCGTATGCTGAAACCAAGTCCAAAAACGTCGCATTGCTATTCTAATGTTTCCAATCTGCAAGCGGCTATGCAAAGCCTCAAAGCCTTGGCCCTTCATCCATGAAGCCCTCGTCGCGGGGCCTGAAAAGTTACCTGTACTATTTTAGGGGTTCCTTCTTACAGTTACAGTCTAGTGGGCTCCAAAACCTTATTAAAGTATTATCAAGGCGCCTGCAGCACACTCCAACCCGGAGCCTTGTCCCAAACAGGCGGCTAGAACCGGAACCCGAGCCCGACAGCCCGAAGCCCAAAGACAGAACCCAGAGACTCCAATACCCCTTAATTAAGGAATATACCTTAAATCAGAATAGGGCTCCTATTATAATTTAAGGTATATTCCTTAATTAAGGGGTTTTGGAGTCTCTGGGAAGCCAAGGTCAGTGTGATCTTCTTCGCCACTCGGCAAGCAGACACCGGAATCGAACATCTCCCGAAGCCTTCACCTTACAAGCCCTGATGCCTCGCATCGACGGTTGCAAGGGGGTCCGGGCTGTCAGTTGTGGGGCTTCGCTTGCATCTTAGGCGGGGCACGAGAAATTCCCGCAACCCTAAACTTCAACCGTTAACCGCGGACTGCTAAGCCAAATCCTAAGCCCCTGCAGCCCAACAACAACCCTACGCCCGAAGCCTTGGTAATGGCGGGCTTCGCAGCTGATGAATCTTCGCCGCACTCTTGAAGGGAGCTTGCAACGGTTCACTGCAGCTTTCACGGCCGCATTCAGATTCAGCACTTCTGAGCCCGAAGCTGGATTTAGGGGTTAGGGTGTATGCACGCTAATCTGTTAACTAAACAAGCCCAAAGCCAACCAAGGGCTCGAAGCCCCCAAGGAAAGTCCACAAGAGTGCACCACATCCCCATCAACCATTTTTGGTTTCAGGCTTTAGGGTTTAGGGTTTAGGGTTTAGGCTTTAAAGTTTGGCGTTTGGGCCCCTGCACCCTATCTTAAGCGTCAGTTTCAAAAGCTCAAACCCCGAACCTCAAGCTCGACGCGAGGCACTCCCTGTTGGAATCCTGGGGCATGAGTTCACCTTCTGCTGGCAGAGCAGGGAGCATCTCATCCAGATAAGATGCTACTTACGGGGGCCCAGCCTTGATTCGCTTTCAGGGTTTAATATAGGGGCCCAAATAATTAGCTATACTATTTTGGGGGGTGCCTTATTATAAGTATAGTATAATGGGCCCCCAAATCTTGTTCTAATTATTAAGGCCCCATATTAGGTTTTAGGGTTCAGGGTTCGGGCGATCGGTGTTTTCGGGTCGCACACGCATAATAATATAGGCTGCCGTGGAGATAGCCATATGCTATTGAAAGACCGCCGTAAGAAATTTCATTCGGGTACACTAAGCCCAATACCGATCATGCAGAATATTTTGTGATATATAATATAACATAATATAATACAACACAATACAATATACATATATATATATATATATATTTAAATTATATGCATAGATAGATAGATAGATACATAGATTGGTGGAGGGAGGCCTACTCTTTGACGCAGACTGCTAATCTGTCAAACCACGTAGAGCCCAAACCCTACTTGCATCCTGTCTCTGAAGCCTCAACCCTAAACCCTAAATCATAAGCATTTTATGGTTTAGGGTTTAGGGGCTTTGGGGGTTAGGGGTTTAGAGTTTGGGGTTTCTGGTTAGGGTTTAAAATTGAGGCTTCATGAGGGACCATGAACCTGTATCTTTAGACAAAAGAACCGCCAAACCCTAGACCCAATTTGCTTCCCAGGCAAGTGCTGCTGCTTGCGCGAGCGCGACGTGCCTTCGCGAAGTGGGGACTCGCGGCTAAACCATTGGGCGGGGTGATACCACTACCTAGGGTTCCTTTAAAGGGGTCTATAAGGGTTACTATGAGGCATCTACAAGGGTACTATAATATTGGGGGCCTCAATGATTACCAATACTAGTTTTTGGGGGGTTCCTACTTATAATTATAGCATAGTCCAGAACCCCCGACTGCCCTAACTGTTCCCTAGCACGGCAGCCTCCCCTGAGCCCTCATACCTTAAGCTTCACACCAGCAAACACTAAAACTGGAGAGGCCGATAGTTCAGGGCTCCCGCACTTTTCGATCAAGATAATAGATACTCGTGTTATGTTTGTTTTTTTGCTGGAGACACATGCGTACATACGTACATATAAAGATACGCAGACAGATAGGCTGATAGGCAGATAGATAGACGGGCAGACCGATAGACAGAAAGAGAGATCGAGAGAGAGATAGAGTTGAAGATGGAGATGAAGATTTCGAGATACAGAGATGGAGAGTCCGAGAGATAAAGACACAGGGAGATACAGAGATAGAGAGATGCAGAGCCAGAGATATGGAGATGAAGAGCTAGACAGATTGAGAGACAGAGAGATAGAGAGACGGAGAGATACAAAGATAGAGAGATGGAGAGACTGAGGGAGAGAGATATAGAGAGATGGAGAGATAGAGAGAAATAGACAGATAGAAAGACAGAGACGGAGAGGTAGAGAGATAGAGAGATAGAGATGTAGAGAGATAGAGAGATAGATGGAGAGAGAGCGATAGGGAAACAGGGAGACAGCGAGACAGAGTGATAGACAGACAGAGATAGAGAGAGAGAGAGAGACACACAGAATGAGAGACAGAGAGACAACAGTATAGAGATGGAGAATTACGGAGATAGCGAGATGACGAGATGCAGAGATGTAGAGATATGCAGCGATATAGAGGTCTGGGATATAGCGACATGGAGATACGGACATATAGAGGTAGATGGGTATAGGTCAGATCCATGGATCCGGATAGCTTGGGCTGTTTTCAGCCTAGTGCTTGATTGTGTTGGCGCCCAGAAGCCTTGCTTGCCGCAAGGCTTTGTAGGGTTTCGGGTTTAGGTTTTGAACTTTTTTTTCGAAGTTGAGCGTTTGATCTAAGTCCCTAGCCGCAACAGAGTGTATGTTCAGGGTAGATAGAGTTAGGGACCCATCACCAGGTTGCTACTCCGGTGCCATCGACGATTTTGGAGCCCCTGACCCGATCTTAACGCCCCCCAGGAGTTAAACGTCCCGGAACCCACGATCCTCGGGAAAACTCCGGCTCAGACTTCGTGGAATATTCTATTTCCCATCGTAAAAGCTTTCAAGTCTGATAGAAGGAATATTCCTTCATGAATGTTGGTTTGTCCGAGCCTATTCTTGGTTTTTGCCCACTCCCAAGCGCTTGGCGTCAGCATCTAGGATACACCGCCAGTGACATGAAGACGCTCTTCGAGTTCGCGGATGCGGACTGTGAAGGGCTTGGGGCTTGGGCTTCAGGGATCAGCGCTTAGAGTTTAGGGTTCGGGCTGCAGGGTTTGTTTTGTTATAGTTCAGGGTTTCGGCTTCAGGCTAGTAGGGTGCAAAGTTGCGGAGTTTAGCGTCTAAGCGTTAGGGAGTAGCTTTCCCAATGTTCGGTCGCTTGGGACTATGATTTAGGGGTCCGTGAATCACGGATCAGGGCGCAGGGCTGGGCTTGTCATGAGGAGTTCACGTGTTCGGGTGATTCTAGCCATTGAGGCTCCTTTTCCCTTAAAGCCAAAATCTCAAACCCCAAACTTTCACAAGCAAAAAGCCAAGCCTTAAACACTCAACCCTAGGCCCTCTACATACTGATTCCGAATCATTCTAAGCATCTATGGGTGGTTGTCCAACTAAGGGTCCCTTTTTGGGTGCCATAAATATTAGGTGCCGCATTATAATAGGTACCCCAAAAGGGACCCTAATTTTGACAACCACCCCGATGGAGGACGGAGATGGCAGCCTCAATCTTCTGGAGTTCTATGAGCTGCTGAATCAGCTGCTGGGGCTTTGCAGCTTCTTTTATGGTGGGTATAGCTTGTTTTCTTGTTTCCCGGGTCCAGGGCTGTTAGAGCGCGTTTGGGATTCAGGATTGAGGGTTTAGGGTAGGCCTGGTAGGCTATCTCAGGCCGCGGGTGACTGTGCTGGCGTGATTGTGTGAGTGCGTAGCACTAACAACCCTAAGCCCCTACAACCTAAACCCTATCACAGTTCACCTGATGCATGTAGGGTTCTCAGTCTGCTGGACGTCGTCGGGCAGGCAGACAGTTGCACCGAAAATAGGAACCTTGGGGTGTAAGCTCTGAGAATTCTCCAGCGCACGCCTAGGCTACGGCTGGGTCTGGATGAGAGAAGTTTGGTCGACTTGTTCATGATGGCACCTTGGGCTGGTTTGTCGTTGCGGGTCTAACATGTAAGTGGGTTTAGGATATTGTGGAGGTGGGGGGGGGTGAAGTTTCATATTCATAGGATGTTTTGGGTTTTTTGGAATGAGGATTTCAGTTTCAGCGGGGAGGCTCTGCGTCCTGATGTTTCGGGGCTTGGATTCAAGGTTTAGTGTTGGAGCTGGGGTTCATTAGTCATTGTTATCCACGGTGGTGAGCCCGACGACGCTTGCTATTAACGGACTAACGGAGCGTAGTTGTACCAGCAGCTCGAACTTTTTGCATGCTGCTTTCTGATGTTTTCTGGATTGCTGCATTTTTGACTCGCTTGTGGAACATCGCTGCACAAGCCCTGCACGTTTCGGCCCCGAGCCCAAATGCCAAAGATTAGCCCCTGAAGCCTGTGTTTCGGACTGCCCAGGCGTCGCACTCGCCTCAGTGTAGTCTAACACCACACCTGCTCCCCTGGGCCCTGTGGTAGAATATAGGGGCCTTGATAATTACAACAGGGTTTTGGGGCCCATTACAAGAGAATCATAATACGGAATCCCCCAAAACCCTATTCTATTTATGAAGGCCCCTAACCTAGAACCCTATGATAGATTTCTTATAGAGCCCTTTAAGGAACCCTTTAAAGGAACCCCTCTAAAACCCTCTTCTAATCATTAATGCCTCTACATTCAGAACCCCTATGATAGATCCCTTATAGAGCCCTTTAAGGAACCCTTTAAAGGAGCCCTCTAAAACCCTCTTCTAATCATTAAGGCCTCTATACTACCCTTCCCTTAGGACCTGGCAGGCAACCCCTGCTTGAGACCTTCCAAACCCGCAGAGAGCCCTATCATTCTTATTCTGATCATTACTGTTACTACTACTACTACTACTACTACTACTGCTATTATTGTTATGTTTACTGTTATTGTCACTATGATCACGATTCTTGTCATAATTATTTATCATTACAGTAAACTTATTGTTACTGATATTGTTATTGCTACTAGTACCCCTTTCGGTTGTCCGGCTCTGCAGGGGCATTGGCTTGTGAGTGAGGTGGAGGGTTCATGGGCTCCTTCGACGCTTACTATAGGGGCCTAAATAGTTGCCTATACTATTTTTGGAGCTCCTTTAAAGGGTTCCTTAAAGGGGTCTATAAGGGGTCTATATATAGTAGGCTTCTATATTACTCTTTTGGAGGTTCCTTGTTATACTTATAGTATAATGGGCTCCAAAACCCAATTCTAATGATAAAGGCCCCTATATTAGATGGTAGAATTCTTGCTCTTGCAGGTCGACAGGGACAACAGTGGGAGTGTAGACGGCTTCGAGCTCTTGGCGAAGATTTTCCCGGAGGAGGTGAACAAAGACACCGAGCAGCCTCTGGACTTCATTATTGTGGGTACTGCCACCACCCCGCAACAGTCTACATTAGAGGTCATATTAAGGGTTATATACAGTTGTATTATGCATATCATCCAACTGTTGCAGAGCGGGGGCAGTCTTTAGACTTTATGCATCCGGAAGCTTCCGTGGTTGCAACCATAAACCCGAAACCCGAAACCCTAAACCCGAAACCCTAAGCCCTAATTTCCATTAAACGGAGAGGGCGCCGCCAAGCAGGTTTGACGACAGCATCGACGCGTGACTTCCAGAGTTTCGGTGTGTCGAGAATGCATCGAATCCTGCGACGGGGGTTGGCGGGTTGCCCATCTGGGAGTTAGGGTTTACATAGGATTTAGGGTTTAGGGTTTAGGGATCGAAATATCGCACCCTAAATAGTAGGATCTTTATTTTAAGGACCCCAAAATAAAGTACCCCCTAATTTTGGGAAGCTCCCATCTAGACCTGCGAATCGTGGGCGTGGCTTCCAGAGTTCCGGGTTGCAGGTTTAGGGTTTTGTATGGGTTGCGTCATGAAGATCCCGTGCAGGATCTTTGATGTCTGCGAAGAACTCCTGCCAGAGTAGCTCAGAAATGCATGGGGGCCCTGGCAGCGCTGTACATGTTTATGGACCCGCTCTCCGACTGCGAACTTGATCAATTCTGAACCCCAGTCCTGAAATCCGGAGCCTCTTGCCTGGACCCCTAACCCCTAGTCCATGCCTTCGCCCTAAAGACCTGAAGCGTTAAACCTTGGACCTAGACCAAAACCTTGACTTTAGTCCCAGAATCTAAACACCGATATGAACGCCAGCAGATCTCGCAAAGCCTACACGCTGACCCCTTTAGACACCGAAAGAAGCCACACCCTAAACCCTAAATCCTGAAACGTAAATCCTAAACCCTAAATCCTAAACCCTAAATCCTAAACCTTAAATCCTAAATCCTAAACCCTAAGGCCAAAGCGCCCCGAGCCCTAAGATCTGACAGCCCTGTAGAACCCCTTCTAAGAACCGCAGAAAACATCCGCGCGCCCCGAATTAAACACAGATTCAACGCTTACAGCTCCTAATAGCCAGCAATGGCATCCTGTATTTTTTCCCGATATCAGCATACGACTGGTATGTGCTATCCCCAAACCCGATTTTGATTCTTGAGACCCCTGTACGAAAGCCTACACGCCCCTTATATATCTCTTTTCAGCAACATAGCAAGCCTTATAGAATCCTCAATACTGCTGATGGACAAAATCCTGCATGACCCTAAGGACTCTAAACTGTGGGAACTATGGTATGAAGGGTAATGCAGGATTTTGTCCATCAGCAGTAGGACGCTAAACCCGTAGTACGATGTTCGCAGATAAAGGAGGTCACGGGTCGGACCGGCCTATGGGCCGGTTTTCTTGCTTGCTCTGTGTCCTGAGGAGGGATGGGTTCAAAGGTCTAGGGCCTAGGGTTTCGGATAGGGGTCGGAAGAATCAGTAATACCACCCCCTGACAGTCCTTCTTGTAGTTATGGTATAGTGTCCCCCCTCCCCCTCTCCCCCCCCCTCTCTGCCTCTCTGCCTCTCTCTCTCTCTCTCTCTCTCTCTCTCTCTCGCACTCTCTCTCTAAACACCTCTTCATCCTAGCTACCTCTACAATTAGGCTGGGGGGTTCAAGACCTAGTTTCAGTAGTCGGGCCTTGCCCCTTCTTCGGAGATAAGCAAAAAGCAAGCGGCAATGAATGGCTGCCGGAGTGTTTTGTGCCTGTCTAACCATTGATATTGGAGGAGCTAAGGAGCCAGGGATGATGATAATCCCTACTAAGTAAGGAGCTAACGAGCCAAGGGAACCCCAAAACCACTGGTTAGCTGTGTTTTGAGTCATTCAGCGGCTCAGGCAGCGGATCAAGAGAAATAACGACCCCACGAGCGTTTAGCCAACAGACAAAGATATTGCTTGTCATTGGGGTATTCGACATCCAAGCCTGTAAGCCTTAAATCCGAATGTAGGGGTTCTTTAGGGACTTAGGAATGTTCCCTAATACCAAAATATTTTCATAAACCCTAAAGAAACCTAATACCCTAATACCCTAACACCCGAATACCATAATACCCTAATACCCTAATACCCTAATACCCAAGGCCGCCTCAACGCCAAACCACTCCGGGGCAAGCCTTTCTGGTGTCTGACCGAGGCGTTCTTCCAGCGTGCATATATCCAGGTTTGAGTGCCCGTGGAGCGAAAGCCTGGGAGTTAGGATTAGTGGGACCCTCGGGGATATAGACCCTCTCAATAAGATCCCTTTAAAGAGAGCCAGAAGTAGGGTTCGCAAGGGGACCCTCTAAGGGGTCTCCCTCATCATGCTACCCACAGCCATAATGCAGGAGACTGAAAAATGCTGCTGCTCCTTAGGGTTCCTATATAGCTATGGCAATCAGGTTTTCCAAGGCCCTAGTCGAAGTTTTAGGCCCTTGCATTAATTCCGTAAAACATCCCGTGAAAGCATCAGACCCTTTTTGCTCAACCCAAAAACCTCTTTATGTAACCAAAGCATTACTTCAAAGCCCTGGCCCTTTATACGAGAACATTGCAGGGATGGGCGGGTCAACTGCACGCTAAGGAGGTTTCGCGGCGTGTGCCTAAACTGCCTAAACCCTGAGCCTATGAACTCTGAATCTTTGAATCTCTTCCCCGTTTCGGAGATTCGGCTTGGAGTCGGAAGCTTGATCGTTCAGGGCTTTGGCCGAGGTAGTGGCCATGGTGGGCGTTTAGTCGGGACTGTCGGCCGAGCCAAGGGCTCCCAAAGTTAAATCTTCCTGGGGTAGATTTGTGACGAACAGTTACGACATGACATAACTGAAGGTAAGATTGTACATCCTAAGCCCTATTAAACCCTAAACGCGAAGCCCTAAACCCTAAACCCTAAACCCTAAGCCCTAAACCCTACACCCTAAACCCTAAACCCTAAATCCTAGACCCTATGCCCTTAAGCCCTAAGCTCTTATCAGCTCCACCGTTGCAGATGGGAGTTTCCGACAATTGCAGACCCTAATATAGTACCCTCAATAGTAGGACCCTTATCATCAGAACCCCCGAAAAAGGAGCCCTTTATTTTCGGAAACTCTAAACCCCTTATAGAGCCCTTTAAAGGAACCCTTATAGTACCCTTATAGAAACCCTTTAAAGGGACCCCAAGGTGCCCCCCTATTGTCGGAAACTCCCAGATAGCAGGGCATCTTGGGCCTGAGGAGTGTTCCCTTACTGCCCACGTTCCGCCGAAGGCGGAAAGTACGTGGCTTTGGTGGCCGGAGTCCAGAGACTCCAATATCCCTTAATGAAGGAATCTACTTTAAGCATCTGTAAGCCATAGTTCAGTAGGATGCTTAATATGATTTCAGGGGATATTGGAGTCTCTGGAAGAGCGACATCCGAATAAAAGCGGCTGGTTCACTTCTTGCCGAGGGGTTTCTCATGTAGCACCAAGTGCCGAAGGCATCTGCGAGTGCGTGGTGTTTGCTCATGACGGCTGCATGCGGTGGTGATGGTGATACTGGTGGTGGTTGTGGTCATGGTGATGGTGGTGGTGGTGGTGGTGATGATGATGGTGACGTCCTACTCGTCGTCCTCCTCCTCCTCGTAGCAGTCGCAGTGCTCGTGGCAGTGGCGCTTCTAGCAGTGGCAGTGGTAGTGGTGCCAGTGACAGCAACAGCACAAACAGTAATCGCAGAAGGCAGCTTGGAGGATTCGAGGAGGGTAGGAATGCAAGGGGCAGGGAACCTGGATCACATATCTTCATGAAGTCGATTTAGCTTACGCTGCATTTGTAGCTGAGTGGAAGTCTAATCAGAGCAGGATGTAGGTAATCTACGGTTTAAGATCTAGGGTTGCAGGGTTGGAGTTCAGCAACGTACTTCTTGAACAGCGTTTTTTTTCCACGGACTCAGAGTCCCGCTTGGAAAGTCTTTTGGGGTCTCGTGTGTAGTCCCAAACTCTAAAACTGCTGTCTAATTCTTTTAGTGGCCACCATCAATCAATCATTCATATATATATATATATATATACACACATTTATATATTGTTACTATATTCTATTATACTATATTATATTATATTATAGTATATATATATATATATATATAATAATGATTCCTGGGAGTTTTTGGGATCGCAGGCGCCCAGTGGGGACTCTTCGACCATGGCCGATGCTGCCCAGCTGCGGGGAACACGGGGCGGGGCTCCAAGAACTCTACCAAAAAGGTGAGAATTAGGGTTTAGGGTTCAGGGTTTGGGGTTTAGGGTTTAGGGTTTAGGGTTTAGGGCTATATGTTGTAAGCTGCCCCCACCCTGTAATAGTGACCATAAGGATTATATTGGGGATTATTAGGGCCCTATTATATTCCTATTATACCACTATTACAGGGTGGGGGTCCCTTCTAAGGTGAGAACTACAAGGGTCTATAAGGGTTACAAGCGGGGTTACCATAAGGATTACTGAGTACTGTAAGGGCTGCTATCAGGGTTGCTCTAAGTGTTGCTCTAAGGGGTAGTATCAGGGGTAGTATAGGGTCGGAATGTTTAAGTACTTCGGTCACCTGAAGTGTCCCATATAATAGTGGTATGCTATAGCCCGAACCCCATTCTGACTATCATGGTCCCTGTGTTGGCCAGGATCGCACCTTGGATGTTGTTTATATTTCAGGCTTCTTTGCAGGAAGGTCTTTGGGGTTAGGGGTTGGGAGTTTGGGCTTAGGGCTTGGTGGTCTTGCTTCAGACTCCTCACACGGGCTGTTCTTCATTTTAGCCGTGCTTTCTTTTGGCATCCTTTGTGTTAACATGGGCCAGCATATTAAGGTGAAGATTCAAAAGGAGGATGAGGGGGCAAGGAAGGTTGTAAGTACCCGAATTGGGGTCAGAAGCAACTAAACTAGAGCCGCCTCATCTGCAAACACCATTTTCTAAGCCCCATGATCCTTTAAGTACCCCGAACACAACAGTATCCCTTCAAGGAACCCTTTATGGAACCCTAGTTGCGAAGTCCCATGATCCTTTTGAGTACCAACTTAGGACATCTCTAGTCCCTAAGCCTCAGGCCCGCAACCGTTATATAGTATCCGTTTAAGGTAACCTGTAAGGAACCCTTTGTGGAACCCCAGTGGCTAAGTCCCGTCATTTTCTAAGTACCAACTTAAGACACTGGGTTGTCCTTTGGGATCTTTTTAATTTCCCTACTATTTTGTAGAGAACCATAACAGGGCTCAAAGGACAACTCAGGACATCACCAG